CTAGATAATAATCTTATCATTAAATTATATAAGATCTAATTTTATTCTGATTTTACAAAACTTTTATGATTATAATCATTATTGTGAATGTAAAATTTGTTGTTGCAAGTGGATAAAAAAAATAAAAAATGTGCTGCCATCCTCTTAGCAAGTTATTTTATTATTCATTTTTGTATTTGTTTATATTACAGAAGAAAATGTAAAAGTCAAAACAAATGTAACTATTGGAGATATGGTTGCAGCTACTTTGTTACATTACAATGAAACACACAGAGCTATTATATTAGATATGAGTTCAAAACATCCTTTTGAAAATTATTTATGTTATTTTATTGATATCGGCTGTAAAGAATATGTTAACACAAATCATATATTTTATGTACTAGAAGAAATTAAAAATGTAAGTTATTTTATTATTTTTTTACTAGTTATGTAAATGAATTTAAAACAAAATTTAACATCATGTTTTGTGTTAAAAATGTTTTTTAGGTTCCTTATTTAGCTCATAGAGTGGATTTGAAACACATTCCACTGCATAATACTATGCTGTTGAAGTATTTAAAGAACTATTATGATAAATTGTATTTACAACCATTATTAATAGTTAGTATATATTGAATACTTTTTTTTTTAAATACTGTCAAACTAGGTTAACTCAAAGTTTGAAAGTACTAGTCATCAAAAATATGAGTTTTCCAAGAAAATTAAAAATATAAACTACATAATATTATATAAAAACTAAAATTATATCTCCATAAACTATTTATTTTTTTCTTGTTACAGCTTCAACAACTTGGTTTAATTGCTCACAATAATATTTGAYATTATGCTACATAAAATTTATATTATAAATTATAATGTAAAATGTATTTCATTATGCCTTCATACATATTTAAATATTTAAAAAAAGCTATTTTTGTTGATGGGCTTTTGCTGTAGTAGATCACAACTTGTTTGGTATAATATTGTTCAATGTTATGAGGTACTGAAAAAAAGCTATTGAATATTGCGTATTGCCATTGCCACATTGCCATTGCCATGGCCCGACATATTTTGAAAATTTAAGATAGGGCCGCTTCATATTGACCATTTTCCTCTCAACGGTATGCCATTTTTTCCGATATTAAGATGTTGGGCCTCTTGAAATATTTTTCGCCCTACTAGATTTTTAGGACTTCGGCGCCACTGATTCTACTCTCAGTGGTTTAACTATTTTAATAGTTATACATATACATTACATAATAACATTTTAATTCAAATAAAATAAGAATTTTGATTTATCCACTCAACATAATATGAGTTAAATACAACTATTTAAAATTATGTTAAAATAAGGAATACCTACCTAGGGAGAAACCYGAGAAAACTTTGAGGTTTTTTAATTTTGAGTTAAACCAAGTTGGATTATACAAACAATTATATATTGTTATTTAAAAATTTATAATATGTATTTAGGAGTACGATGAAAGTGATTCCAGTGGACCCATCAAAGCTATATTAAAAAGAAAATCAAATAATATGGATATATATTTAGATATAAAACAATTTTTACATAAGAAATTATCAAGTTTTAATTCATCAAATAATAAAGGTATAAACTTTGATTGGTTTTTGATATTTTWAAAAAAATTTAACAAACATTTTTGATACATTTTTTCAGGAAGTGAATTAAAAATTACTGACTACTTGAAGTACAATGATTTGCTCAAAAATGGAACAGTAGTATTAATTACTCACTTTTGTTCTATACATCAAATTTATATCCGTATTAACACATCTGAATTAACAGAATACTATAATAATTTAATCACAGAAGTTAATCAGTTCTATGCCAAATTAAAAAGTAAATATAAAAATAGCATATCTACAAAATTAATGATTACAGAAGTTTGTATTTTTATATACCTATAATGATATATATATTTATAAGTTATGTATAATATCAGGATAAATTATAAAATTTACATTTATTTATAAAAAAAAAAATGTGTTTAAATTGGAGTGGATAAGCCTTTGACATTATCTAAAATAACCTCAGTGAAGATAATGGGGTCCCTACTTTTTTCAAGTCCTCTTCCTCATAAAATCAAATAAAAAATAACTGTAATGTTTTAATTTATGATTATTCGTGCTATTTAGAATATATCATTAGTAAAAGTATATTGACTAAAAAAAGTTCTAGAGATCTCTAATTTTGCTGTATAGTAGATTCGACTTATATGATACATTATTATGTAAAAAAAAGATAGTGAGTAGACTACAATCTGATCTTCAAAACTTTTTCTAATAAAACAGCTCATCTTTTTATTTTTAATATTTTTAAAAACTACTGTAAGAATAACGTAAGAAGATGTTATACCCGCATGTGTTGTCTCCATCACAAGTGCGTAAAATAGCAAATTTTACGTACAGCAGATCATGTTTAGCTCTGTGAGTTTAAAATTTAAGGTAAATTGTATTAAACTATTAAATTAATACATATTGTATGCAACTCCACATAAGAATAATTTAAGACTAAGAAATTGTAATTGTGAGTAGATTTATAGAACCAATCAATTAATTTCAATATTTTAGGTTTTATTCTATTTGAATCTTTAGAAACAATAGAAACACATTAAATAAATTTAATAGATTATTTTATAGCTAATTAATTTAAATTGTTTGCATGTTTATGATTATTAAAGTAATACTGCACATTTTACTTAAACATTTGTAATAAATTATTTTAAAATATAATGTAAAATAATTTTTTTGTTCAACATACTAAGATGTGAATCACAAAATAATGACTCCAAAAATTGGTGACAAGGTTGCTGTAAAATCTGTATCCAAGAATAAATTTGCACGTGCAATTATTTCTAAAAAAGTTAATGACACAACTTATTCTGTACACTTTCTCGACTACGGTGATAAGGAGTATGTGAAAGCAATCAACATTTTTCAGTTGCCTTATAATTTAAGACATGTATGTTTTTACTTATGTACATAGGTTTTTATGTGATGAATTATATTGTTTTGTCTAATTTTTAATTTTATAGTTGCCACAGTCAGTGATTAAAATTGGTTTAAATATTGTAATGCCAATGAATAAAATTAAACATCTTCCTAAATACTTCAATCAATTAATTCAATTATCAGTTCCATTAATTGCGGTAAGTTGCTTTTAATTGATTATTTTTGATAGTTGGTTTCATGATACAAAATTTGTATGATTTATATCAGACCTCAGTGGTCTTAGTTAATTATTGGTGAATATGGTTATTGTCTATACCTACGTTTTATCATAATACTTAAGTTCAGCCCTGACTAGGAATTCTAGCTATATMCTGCYGAACCACCTTTATTTTCAATAGTCAATAGCTATCTCTTAAAATTGACTTTTTTCAAACTATAATTTTGATAATTTAATGAAAAAACATTTGATAATTAAATTGATTGATGACATATAATAATAATACGGTCCTTCCTTATTCCACATAAGATAATGTTTATAATTCAACACATTAATTACTACATGGGTTTTTTCAAAGGGGAAGGTGGGTGAACGTGGTCAGTTGCCTCACCATACCTTGTACCTTTTTAAAAATGTTTTAAGTTTTGTGTAGGAAGTTAATTTATTTTATAACCTATTTCTGATTACATTAATACTAATAAAATTAATTGCATAAAAATATAAATTAGGTACTATGTTAAATGCTTAATATTATATGAATATTCTATAGTAATTTATGTTTTCAATACTAGGAGTTTGATGAAGAAGATCCATTAGGGTTTCAAAAGATTRTTTTAAGAAAGGAGCTTGATGGCGTTAATATTCATGAAGATATTCAGAAATTATCTGACCCATTATAAATAAGTGCTGATAATTTTCTTTAAAATTAAATATGAATAGTATTTATATCAATAAACTTACTTAAGA